GAGCAACAAAACACCTAACGAACAATCCAGATAATTTTGTTACTTTTGAGAAGTTTGTCGCACCATGTTCTGTTCAAGCTGCAGGAAAAAAAGTTCTTGCTGCTGTGGGTAGAGGCGAAATAAATATGCTGTCAACAGTAAATAACAAACAACAGTATATAAAACTCTCAGATGTCTGGTATGTTCCAAATATAGGTAGAAACCTGTTTTCCATATTAGCCGCACAAGATAAAAATTCAAAAAACAGCAAGTTTGAATCTTATGCAACCAAATGTCAACTCAGTATAAAGAACCGAGTGGTAGTACAAGGGACAAGACGAGTAGATGGTTCCTTGTATGAGGCAAACTTGATTTCATTAACTCCAAATACACCGGCTGAAGTGAATATAGTCAGTGAAAATTCAATAGTGCAGCTCTACCATGAACGTTTTGGTCATCAAGATAAACGTCACATAAAGAATGTTATAGAAAAGGAGTTAAACATTAAAGTTCATCTTGACAAGGATTTGTGTGAACCATGTTTCTATGGTAAAGCACATCGGTTAAAATTTGGCAAGAGAAATGCAACCAATAAACCAGGTGAACTACTATCAGCAGATGTTTGTGGTCCTTTCAGTACAGAATCATTTAATAGTAAACGATATTTTGTTGTTTTCAAAGATCATTACAGCAAAATGAGGTTCATTTCTTTTCTTAGACACAAAAATGAAGTGAAACAGGCACTACAAAATATTTTGTCTCAAGCAGCGACTCAAGGTCATTAAGTAAAAAAATTTTTGAGTGACAATGGGGGTGAGTTTGACAACGAAGAAGTTCGAAACATCCTGCGCAGCCATGGAATCACGCAAAGACTAACAGCATCATATACACCTCAACAAAATGGTGGTAGTGAACGTGAAAACAGAACAATAGTAGAAATGGCACGCACATTGAAGTACTCAAATCCAGATTTTGAATTTCCAGTCGCTATGTGGGCTGAGTTATGTTCAACTGCAGTATATTTACTTAATCGAACAGGCAAGTCGTCGATTGAAGATAAAAGCCCATTTGAAATTTGGACAGGTAAAAAGCCGAGAATTAACCATGTGAGAATAATTGGCTCTACATGTTTTGTTCACATACCTGATCAAAAACGTCAAAAAATGGATAAGAAAGCCATAAAAGGTTACCTTGTTGGTTACGATGGTGACGAACGCTATCGTATATGGCTCAAAAATCAATATAAAATGATATTCTCAAGAGATGTAGTTTTCCAAGAAAAACCTATGAAATGTACAACATCATTTGAACATCAGACTCAAAAAGATTTTACAACAGATCCTCAAATCAATTGCAAAACAGAAAATGACTCAAGTAGTAGAAATGATGATTCAAAAGAAGAAATTTCAGATGACACTAATGAAGATGTTCACAACCGTAGTTCAGTTTCATCTGATGAAGAAGATCAATCTGACTGTTGTAATCAAAAGACCAAAGGTATGGTTTTACGTGACAGGAATAATATCAAAAAGCCATCTCGTTATGATCCTTTCGTTATGTCTGCATTAAGTGAAGTACTTGAACTAGAGAGCTACAAAGATGCCATTCAAAGTGATGAAAAAGATGAATGGTTTAAAGCCATGAACAGTGAAATGCAGTCATTAAAGGAAAATCAAACGTGGGATTTGGTAAGTCTTCAAAAAGGTCATAAGGCAATACCATGCAAATGGGTCTACAAGGTAAAACACAATCCAGATGGTTCTGTTGAACGTTTTAAAGCCAGGCTAGTGGTAAAAGGTTTTTCTCAGAAAAAGGGAATTGACTATGAAGAAACCTATAGTCCTGTGGTCAGAAGTTCAACTATAAGAACACTATTAAGTGTTGCTGCAAATGAAAAGATGTCACTCATGCAGTTTGATGTGTCAACAGCATTTCTATACAGCAAACTAGATGAAGATATTTACATGGAGCAACCTGAAGGTTTTAAAGATAATTCAGGAAGAGTCTGTAAACTCAAGCGAAGTCTCTATGGACTTAAACAAGCTCCAAGATGTTGGAACAAACACTTTGCTGAATTCTTGAAAAAGAAACAATTCAAACAAAGCGATGCAGATACTTGTTTGTTCATTAGAATACAGGGAGGAAAGAAACTCATACTTGCACTGTATGTTGATGATGGACTAGTTGCAGGAACCGATAAAGAAGAACTAAAAATATTTGAAAAAGAATTAAAGTCTGAGTTCAAGATAACATCTAAACCTGCAACATATTTCCTTGGATTAGAGATTAATCAAGATGAGAAGGGAAATATTAATGTCAGTCAGTCATCCTATACAAGAATGATTCTTGAAAAGTTTGGGATGAGTCAGTGTAAATCCTGTACAACTCCGATTTCAAAATCTGAGGAGTTCGATGAAAACAAAAATGAACATGAGGAAGTGAAATTTTCTTACAGATCAGCAGTTGGTGCATTGATGTACTTGATGACGGGAACAAGACCAGATATTGCATATGCAGTTGGAGTAGCCTCCAGAAGTTTGGAGAAACCCAGCAAGTCCAGTGTAGCACAAGTTAAGCAAATTTTCAGATATTTGCAAGGCACAGCTGATGTCGGTATTGCTTACAAGTCTGGTCAAAACAATACACTTATAGCCTACAGTGATGCAGATCATGGAGGAGATAAATCTAGTGGAAGATCGACATCAGGTGTAATCTGTATGTTTGGAGGAAGCGTGATCAGTTGGTTTAGCCAACGTCAGCCCTCAGTTGCGATTTCAACTACTGAAGCAGAAATCGTTGCCGCAAGTGAAGCAGCTCGTGAAGTGATATGGCTCAAACGATTGTTGAACGACATCGTAGATCTAAAGAAAAAACCAGAAATTTTTGTCGACAATGAAGCAGCAATTCGGTTAGCACACAATCCAGAACTTCACAGAAGAACAAAGCACATCCACATTAGACATTTCTTGGTCAGAGAAAAAGTTGCAGAAGAAGAAGTTTCAGTTGAACGAGTTGCGACAGAACTTCAAGTTGCTGATGCTCTGACAAAACCAATGGTAGGACCAAGACTAAAGAATCTGATGTGTGTGATGGGTCTTCAGAACATTTAGGTTAAGGTCATCTAATGTTTTAAATAAAATGAGAAGGTGTTAAGTTTTATGTTTTATATTAAAACATTATGATTTATAATATAAATTTATTTTCTTTGGACCAAATGTTCTTTGCTTTGTATGTAACTTCACTTTTCCTTTTTTCTGTTGATCCGGTGGATAATAAACAAGTCGTGAACGTTGCAATGTTTATTTCTTGTCTATTAATGTCTTTCAATATTGTATCAATTAATTAAACGATTTACGTAATAAGAAATTTAACATAAATTAAATTAATAAATAAATAAATTAATAATTAAATTGATAAATCAGTGTTCTGTTTAAAAATTGCTCGCCAATTTAATTTATTTTATCTCTTTTCAAAATCAGATAATTTTTCTTCATTTGCTATGTTTATTTATTAATTCATTATTTTATTTCATGTTTTAGAAATTACATAACTCATCCAGTCATTCATACCTTGTAGGACTTTCCATCACATATACCTACATCACATTATCTTTTAAACATTATCTTTCCATCACATTATTTTAAACAATACATTGAATATCAAATAATTAACAAATAATTTTTGGTTATTGTTATTATTGCTTTGAAAAAAGTACATAAACTTTACTATCAAATTCATTTGTAATTGAATAATAAAGATATTGCACGAAAGTGTTTGCAAAAGATTGAAATAAGGATAATACATGACACACTTTACTATTTATATGTATTTGAAAACATAACAGAAACGTTGCAGGCAGTGTTTGTAATTAATAAACAAAATAAAATTAACTAAAGGAACAAGACATGTATTCCATTCATTTGTTATGAATATGTTTTCAAAAGCGAATTACTAAAAAATGAAATTCCATTCTATTAATAAAAAATATAATTATAAATTCTCAAAATGAATAGTTTTATTAAAAATTATTTACACCAAATTTATTATTGTTCTTTTCATTCATTATTCTACATGTGTTCATCATTCTTATATTATAATATGTTTTAAGTATTAAATTAATGACGGAGTAGGATTGTGTGGATATCCCATGACTTGTTTGTAGATCATGGTGCATAAGGTTCAAAAAATCTTCACCATGGGTTTGAAGGTGGAAAAGTATTTTTAAACGATTAAAGGTAAAACATTTTGAAAAGCCTCAGTCCACAGTTTGTTTGAAATTTTTTTTCAAATATGTGCCACACCTCTGAAATGAATACAAAAGATAAATTATTTTCAATTTAATTGTAATCAATTGATGTTAGGCTTGTTAGCTTTACATTGAAAAATAGTTTAAACCTTAATGATACCTTCGGATGGAGAAAAGTACGGTACTTCATTTTTTAATTGTCGAAAATGACTGCAACTTCTTTAGGCGGAGACACTTTCTAGCTTACTACATTCACATTCGTCACAATGGACATTTTATTTATAATACCAATGACACAGACGTATTACAGCCGCAAACATATAAAATGACAAATTTTTATCAGTTTGTAAACTACCCTAGAACAAAAAGATTTAAGGACATTTTTAAACAGTTTAATTAAATGATTTGTTGAAAATTTATAACAAAGAGTAAAATAAATTGAAATGGTTTTACTTGTAAACATGGGACTGCATGTTTTTTCACAAGCTTTTGATTTCCGGTCGTGACAAAATCATTGGATTTGAAATGCAAATTACAAATCCTTGAGAAACCAGTAAGCATCCAACCACCATTATTTTCAACCTTTATTTTATTGATCTAAATATTTCTCTCTTTGTTATCTTTAGGAAAACTAATTTTTGTACAGATAACGGATATGAAGACATCAAGATTAAGTATACATTGTGGTATAAATCAAGTTTAATAATTTACAAAGACACTAAACAGGTAAATAATTAGTAAATACATTGTATGGCAATTAATAACAGATTGTGGCTTATTTTTTCTCGTACCTTATCCTTTCAGGACATTGGCGACCATCGACCTCCACAAAACCCAATCTTAAACACTGTGTGGTAGTTGATATGTGGTGATAATCAACAAGTGAAACATAATTTTCACGAACGTAATTTGTTGTTGACCGCAATCTCTTCTCCCTGTAATCTTTCCAGAAGTTGTTAAATTTTCCATTCCTTCCTTCCTTCCGCTTGATGTGAGCAAAGGCAAAATGTAACACTTTAACAGTTTTAATTTTGTTGATATTCTGATTTTACTGTTGGTGAGGATGTTTTTCATTTTAGAATATTGTTGTAACTTCTTGACCTTGTAACTACCAACACCGATGTTATAACTTCAATAATCTCCAGCACCGTGTTGTAGCTTCCAACAATAGTCAAGATTAATCCGTAGGTTCAAGATTTCTGATAGATGAACACAACTATTTCAAACGCAAATTTTGTTGAAACGTTTATTTGAATACCAGCAGTAATAGAAACAATAAATTAATCTAAATAACTACATAAAACTGTTCATGAAAAAAGCAATGAGGACCATTACCTGCTCAAAATTTAATGCTCCATCAGAGAAGCTATTTATTTCAACGCGTTAATTGAACTATAAGAATCTCCATGTTTATTTATGCGCAATTTTGTTTTTAAGCATTACGCTGGATTGTTACCAACCCTATTTTCAAATTATTATTGTTTTGTTTTTAATAATCGGCACAAAAGCATAATACAATGTAACAAATCAAAGACGATTATTTTGTGCAATGGACCACTGATGTGGAATAACTTCGTAATTAATTGTGATTTAAATTCTGTTTTAGGTACTAAAGTTTTGTCAACATTTAAAAACAAACTGAAGAATAATCATGGAATGATATAACTGGAAGCGCCCTATTTAGAGTATTTAAATACTTAAATAGTATTTAAATACTCCAGTATTTAAGAGGTATTTAAAATATTTAATAAAATGGCAATATTTAGACAGTATTTAAATACTTTTGCATGGTATTTAGTATATAAAAAATTTAAATACTTTGACAAAAATTGCTTTATCAATCATCTATTCCACGTTGTATATTATTATGTGGATGTAGTTTTTTGTATGTTGTGTTATTATGTAGATATCATCGCAACATCAAGATTCTCTATCTTGATGTTGCGATTTAGTTATTATGTTATTTACGACGATAAAAAATATTGTCTTTTAGCGAATTAAACACAAACTCACCCATTTTAGTTTTACAGTTCTTTTTCCAAAACAAGGCGATATATACGAATAAAATAAATGCTACGAGTAAAATCTATTTGTATGTCTTGAGTCCCATCTGTTACGTGAGTTGTGTTGTGTCCTTCCCGTCTTGTTCCGTCTCGTCTCTCGAGTAGACTCGTGTGTGTCTTATGTTCTTCTTCCCGTCTCGTCTGTCGTGTAGTTCCGTGTGTGTCTTCTGTAGTTTCTCTCCTTGCTTAATGCTGCATCTCCTTATATAGGAGAAGGTGCCTGCGCGTTGGCGTTTTAGTTTTACATGCGTATATGGTTGCACATGGATCTAATTACCTCGTCTGTAATACTTTGCATACCAGTCGTGATGAATTGCGGTCAAGTGTGTCTTTCTCTTATTTAATATTTCTCTGTTTGTGGTTTCGTCTGTGTATGTGTCTGTGTGTATGCTTTTCGCTGCGTGAATATATTCCCTCTGTGGAACAATAAATACGTCAGTCGTGTTTTTATGTGTTTTAGTCTTTGTATGTGTGTGTGTGTGTGTTGATTGATTTACATGATATCCCTCACTTTTAAAAAAATAAATTTGTCCTCAAATTGAAATGGTAAATGTCAATCGAGTACTGCATAAGCATATGAAAACATAAAAAATTTAGAAGTGTAACATTAAATGCATAAAAAACACATACATTTTCAATTGTAAGTAACGGAAATTTTTAAAAATACTTTTTAAAATAATATTCGGCATAAAAAAAACTTTAGAGCACATTTTTTTTTCGTACGCACGCCTTATAGCAGTCTAACAAGTTCAAGGCCCGCACGCCCGATAGATTTATCGTTCAACGTAACATAACCAAACCAAATTTAATCACACAGAGGAGGTTTTTAAAATTTATTTTGGTAGTAAAAGCAAACAATCTTTTTTTTATCTTTCAACTACCTTAAAAAGTGAAAAACACACACACACACACATATGTATATATATTTGGTTGAATGTTCTTGCCCATTTTGTATTAATTAATTTCTTTTGGGTTTGTTCAATAAGACGCAATTGTTGTAACTCAATTTTATTAAACTCGTCAAGCATTTCGAACGGCTGACGACGTCGTTTCGACAGTGTATGTCATCTTCAGAACTTACGTTTAAATTATTAAATATGAATTGAATATTTAAAATTGTAAAATCAAGAAGAATAAACGAACCAAATTGGGAAAATATAAGCGTAAAATGATCAAGGAAATTAAATTAAAATTAATGTAAGAAGTATACGAAATTTGAGTAAAGGTACTTAACCTGCCAATAAAATAAATTAAATGTTAAGATAACTGATAATAAAATATACAATATACAAAATAAGTGAAATGAATTTCAAAATTTAAATACTGGAAGTGAAGGTAGAAGTACGAATATCGATATTGCAAATTTGGAATGACAACCAAACGTGTGTGGAGTGGTGGGATGGTACGAGTGTATATGAATAAATATATTATGCTAATGTGTGAATAGGTGGAATAGAAATGTAAGTGATGTTAATTATCGATTGTGAATGAAGCAAGGCATGGATGTTAATTATCACATAAGGTAGTGAGTGACGCAACGACGTATGATTTACGACGATTAGTGACAAACTACGTATTGGCAGGTTGGAGTTTATCGATTGTGGAACGATATTCATATCGTTGTGGTACTGTCACCTGCCGTGGATCGTTTCTAACGGGGAACGTCGGCGTCAAATCCCTATATTGGGAGAATAGCTGGAGAGTGGGGTCAAATCTATTGGTTTGTTTGTTCATGGTTGGTTTACATTAGTTGATGTGCAGGGCCTCACGGATTTTCAACCTACCCGGGTGGGTTTCTTTGTCGAGTATCTTGGTGTTCGCATCAAGTATGGCTCGCGTGAGGTTCGTGCGGTGCGCATTAAACATATGGTCCTTAATGCTATCGTCCTGTACATGTAAGGTGAGTCTGCGGGAGAGAGTAGTACGAGTGTGACCGATGTAGTTATCCACAACGCAGCGTGGCACAGGATACGTAAAACGGCACACAACGTTTGTCCTCTCCAACGCAGGTAATGGTGGGTTATTGCTGTTTTTTTATAACGATGTTTGATGAGCGATTTGTGTTATAATAAATGATGAGTTGTAAACGCTTGTTGTTATGACAGACGGTAATATTGTTTTGAATGATGCGTTTAATTTGCGATTCAACGACTCCATAGTTGTCATGCATTTGATTTCTGTAATATTATGGTATGACTGTTTTAGTTAATACTTCTTGAGATTTTTGCGTGAGTGGATTACTGTTGACTTTTAGGAGATATTTTTTGATTGTGTCGTCGACTATTTTGTTTGGGTAGTTGTTGTTGATCAGAAATTGTTTGATGCGGGGCTAATTCAACGTTAAAAATATCGTTGTCTGAAGAAATTTTGTATGCCCTGTGAATGAAGTTGTAAACAACGTTGTTTTTGTAACGTGTAGGGCAGTCGGATGTGTTGTTTAGGACCTGACCAGAGTTGGAAAGTTTGACGTACACTTTGGCGAGTAACTGTTCATCTTTCTGTTCTACCAAACAGTCAAGGAACGCAAGACGTTTGTCAACACTCAACTCTATTGTAAATTTTAGATGAGAATTATTTTGAAACATATTTTGTAGATTGTATATTATTATTTATTTATTCAAAATAGTGGTTTGCATTTTGTACATCATTGAAATGATTTTCCATGTTAAATAAATTTTTGTTGACACATTGTGGGAGTATATTGCTTTCAATTACAAGTTTTTTCTTAAAACAATAATTATTTATTTTTAATAATTTTCAGATTCTTGACAGATTTGAAAATCATTGAAATTTATTGCTTTTACCAGAAAATAAATAAATGTATCATTTTACTTTTAATACTCCTTTTGAGGGATATGTCAATTGTCCATTGTCTTTTAGTATGATGAGATGATTTGATGATTCGCTAAATATGTTTTTGCTGGCTGAAATCAAGCATTTTCTGCATATTTGTTGGGATTTGTGACAGCATATTGATGTAAAATTTTAAATAAATTTTGGAGATGTTTACATTAGAAGAAAAAAGAACATGCATTCTGCCCATGAGATGGTCGGTGTTATTGACTTCACCACCCATCCTTCCATGTATGCAGTGCAATTTCTGACGATATACTGCAGTGACGCATGCTCCAATAATACGTTGTCATCAAAATCTGCCCAAAAAATAATGTTACTAAGCAGTTCTTTTGTTTCAAATGATGACACATTTCCTGTGTTACCTGCGATTTGCAGAGTAGCTTTAAATCTATTCAGTTTATAATTTCCATGTCAAAATTACAACTGTTAAAAATTTGCAGCAAATCTTTTTGTAAATGTCGCTGAATTGTTGGCAATTTATGCGACGGCAGCATCCACCTGCACACAATTAATTTTTCATGTTATTTCATTATTATGACTCAAGTCAGAAAAGTTTAATACGTAGTTGAAATAAAGTTCCAGTGGATCCTGACTGAAACGGTAAATCATGACAAAAGGTTGTTCATTCAACAATTCTTTCGAAATATCAGTTATTGAATTTATGGTTGTACAAAAGCCCATTATGCACATTTTTCTGAAATTATTTGTAATTAGTTTTAGTTTAGATATTGAAATATATATAAAAAAAAAGAATTTTTGAGTTTTGTAAATGTTAACACCATCTAAATTTTTCAAATTTAGTAATTTAAATTATCTATTGTGGCTGTCAGGTTGCCCTTTCTCTATCTAGCATCAGTTTGCTGATCAGTATATCGAAAAGATCGTTGATGTTTTTCACAAAAGCTATTGTTTCAAAAACGTCAGAAAAACCAATGATTTAACCACAGGGCAACTAAAGACTTGAGATGTATATTTAACTTTCATCTTATGCTTTTCAAAATTTACATGATTTTTGCTTAATTTATTTCCTAATTTCATTTTGATTTGTTGTTGATAATTAAATAAGTTTACGATATGATTCCATTTGATTGGATTATTATTATAAAATATTATATTATAAGAATGAAACCTATTCCTCATTAATTTCAGCATTTGGCATGCATCAAATATGATATATATTTTCTGGCCGGTTGATGGGGACAAGAAACTTGTTTGCATGTTTGGAAGTGTGAAAGAGCATCCAATCAATCCACATGCCAAAACGTTAGTGGCCAACCCACCCATTATCAGTGAGAAGACCCTATAAAATAAATATAATGTATAAAAATTTTAACATATTTTTAAGAAAAAAAAATGTTGCTTACCCTAACTCCAGCATTATGTAACTTATCAATGGCTTTTTCTATTAAATCTTTCAACTTGTGAGATAATAATTTATTTGTATAAAAATAAGCTATTGAATGCCTCCAAGCGTCTATCAGACCAACAACATAAAAAACCAACACTTCTGAAGCAACTATGTCCTCATTCCCATCGCCATAGTTAACATATCCAATAAAGTCATCTTCACAAATAAACAATGCATTTGATGATTTATGCTTAAAGTTTAACATCAGTAAAATTAAAAAAATTGAAGACAAATGCTTATAGTGAAATGGGAAAAAAACAAAAAATCAAGAAATAAATAAAATACACAAGGAATAAACTAGCATATGCTACCAAAATATGCTATATTTTAACCTCACAAATTTACAAACAAAATTTATTTTAAAAACCTACCAATTTTCCTATTATAAGTTATTTGAGGCTTTATTGATATCGAATCAAGGATTAAAGAGCATTTGCAATATTTCATTTGCAGTACATATTTCTTTATATAACAATACTAGTTTACAGAATATTATTATTAACAAAATTTTACTTGTTCAATGTTTTAGGGTGTGGAGGTGTTAGTCCACATTTTCTTAAAAATTGGTATGCACAAAGACTATGAGAATGCAGCTGCATATAAAAAGTCTTGTAACTATCATCATATACTTTGTTAACTCTTTTTTTAAATGGTATGAGTTTTTTTATCTAGAAGCAAAATAAACAAAAAATTAATCAAAATTTCAATTCATTTTGCTATGGTTTTATAACATAAAACCTTTGTATGTAGCTAATTCATTTTTTAATTTATTACATTCATTCATAAGTTTTCTTATTGTTGCCTGCAGCATTGTGATTCTGGACTTGTAATACTTTGATTGCCTTTGCTGTTGCTTGATAAGAAGTGCGTCCATTGAGCAAAACGTCTAAATATGATTTAAATTTGAAAATAAATAGCTGCATTTAAAATCTTTCATCATATATGTATATATATATATATATATATATTTATATATATATATATATATATATATATATATGGTGTGTCAATTTTATACCGGAAATTGATTTTTTTAGATTTTTAAAAAACAAAAAGGGGTTATAAAAAGATACATTTTTGTATCTGCTGACGATCTGTGATCTAATATATTCATCCCTTCTTTCCTGACTGTAAACATGCTCACTTGCCTCTGTAACCATCTTGACACATCTCTCAATACTTTGAATGTGTAGGGGCCAGTCTGGGACTATCATTGGAGTGTGCAAAAATTGTTTGACTTGAGCCGTTGTTAAGCTACAATTTAGAGGAGATTCATACATTTCAAAATCCCAATAAATGAGTTCAAGTAGGCTGCTGGCATCAGGATTGATCTTTGGTGTTACCCTTTGGCTTAAACTCATATCCCTCATCTGAACATTCTCATCTGCATTTCCTCTGGTTTCAAGAATCTTTTCAATTCCAACTTTTCTTTCTTCCTCCTTGTCACTACAAATCAGTGTCTGGATGATAGCTTCAGAATGTGCATACCAAGCTGATCTTCTTACCACATGCATTACTATCTGCATTACCTCTTTGTCTTGGTTTCTCAAAAGCTCCAGCTGAAAAAGAACATGTCTCGGATCATCAATCCAACTATGCTTTACTTTGATGTTAACCCAATTAGGCTTGTAAACTTCTACTAAAAATTCGACAATCAATTTCAAATTTCTAAGTGGCATATCTTTCAGACCATGATTGGAAACCCATAATCTGCAACATCTTAGAGCTGTAGTCAACCATTTTGAGTGACAGGTCCAATCTGTAAGTTCGCAAGCCTGTCAGGCACAACACCAGATCTGATAGCATTAACAATCATGTATCCATAATACTGGTCTGTGCTGAGGTCATTAATCAAACTCTGTTTTAACTCAATCAATGGAGGACCAACAGTTATCCTGATAAAATTTGGATTTATTTCCAGGTCTATTGCATCATCAAGCATCTTACCAATTGGTCCTGACCATCGATTATTGCTCAGTGTTTGACCATCCAATTCTTAAATAAGATGTCTCAGTGGCAATTCATTTTTGTGAAAATCACATATCAACCAAACAAGATTTCTGCCAAGTGACACATCAGTAGCTTTATTCCACAAATTAACGATTCTTTCCTGGATTGTTACTTCATAAATAACAACAGGATATTTAAACTTAGAATTTGCTTTGGTCCACTAATAAAAGAGGGCAGTCATAATATCTTTGGCTAGTTCTTTTTGGTATAATTTTTTGTCCTTCTCGCTCAACTGCCTTAGCAGAATACTGTATCTTAATAAATCTCTCACAGTTGGTAACTCTGAGGTAATGATCTCCCTGCCAGACCCCACATAATGACTAAGATGAGTGGAGGTCTTTCCTCTGGGAGGCCATAATCAGAATCAAAATAACAATGATAGTAGTTCTCTAATTTATTGCAATATCTGAAAAACATAAAAACAAGTTAACAACATTTTATGTGCGTTAATTGTGGTCTTATTTTATAACATAAAATATTAGGTGAAACTGCAAAATCTGATTAAAGAGATCCACTTCAAGCTTGACAAATGCTGCTTTATGAATTTTTCATGATTTATAGCATAACTAACAATGGGGGTACATTCAACTTAAAGTCATGTTACCCGCTCTCCCGTAAATAATGTAGTATATTTGTAAAACTTTCACTCAAAATTTATCAAGCTTAAAGTGCATCCATTCAAAATTGAAAGGCACCAACGGAAACAGGACATCAAAAAGCTTCTTTTGCCATGCCCTGGTTTTTTCAAAAAAAAAAAAAAAAAACTTTTTAAAATTTGACACACCTTAAATATATATATATATATATATATATATATATATATATATATATATATATTTATAGTCCTGGGTATGACATAAAACTGCATCCACGCTGCCTTGCGTGCTTTTGAGCGAAAGGCTAGGCCCACCGCTTATAACTGGTAGTTGTCGTCAGGATGGGTGTCCGGATGTAAAAACTTTTCTCCAAATTATTCCTATGCCATCACAAAGAAAAACAACGGCCCCTAGTCCCCTGCAGGCTTTAAGTGGTCAAGGGATGCCAAGAATCCCTGGGAAGTATGCAATAGCGGAGGGATGTTGCAGAAAATTTCAGAATAGCCCCTCTATGGTACTTAGAAGTTCTAAATTTAAAAGAAATGGATACAACTGATCGTCTAATTTGGCGCAAAAAGTTGATGGCAAAGAAAACAACGTCCTACCTCGGGAAACCGGGTCTCTGGACGCATATATATATATATATATGTACCATTCGCCCCTTGGTTTGTCTCTGAATGTCGTTCATTAAAACGCAATTGTCGAAAACTAGAACGATTGTATAGAAAATAAAAATATT